CTGTGCGACCTGCTGTAGGAACGGCTTTGGCAGGGGGTTGGACTCCATGAGCTCTGCAGCTCCCTTCCAACCCCTACAATTCTGTGATGCTGTGATTCTGCGATGCATTTTCTTTTCTTTTTCTCTTTCCTCACCCATTCTCTCTCTTTTTTTCTCGTTCTTTTCCCCTTTCCCCGCTCCCTCCCCGTTTCTCTGGGAACGGAAGGTCCTGAAACCTCCTGAACCGTAGGCTGGGTGCGTAGAAGCTCCCCGCCCCGAGGCCCCCATCGCCCCCACCCGCGGGGTCTCCCTCCCCCCCCGTTCCACCCCCATACTCCCCAGTACCCCCCCAACCCCCGCCGCGGACGGCCGCAGAGCGCGGCACATTCCTATGACGTCACACCGCGCGTGAGTGACCATGGCAACGCCGGAAGTGAGTGCTGCCAAGAGCTCATCTCGCGAGAGCTCCGCCAGGTGAGCGCCTTACGACGGCTCGTCTCGCGAGAACTCGCGTGCCGCCCCAGCTGTGCGCTTCCGGTTTCATCATCTCGTGGCCATGCAGCTGCGGGTGGCGCCCGGCAGCCCGGCGGCGCTGAAGGTGGTGGCGGCCGCTCGATGCGCCGCCGCTCCGGTGGAGCTCTGCTGGGCCGAGCCCGGAGGTGAGGCCTTCCGCCGGGCCGCGTTGGGGGGCGGGGGGGGGCGAGGCCTCCCCTGGGCCGCTCGGCCTCCGCGGTCGCCCTCACCTGACGAGCTTCCCGTCCCGCAGAGCCGCCGCCGTCCCCGCTGTGCCCCCCGTGGGCCCCCGCCCTGCGGCTGGAGAGCGGCGCGGTGCTCTTCTCCCCCAACGCCATCTGTCAGTGAGTGCGGGGCCGTCCGTCCTTCCTTCCGTCCGTCCGCCCCCCGCACCCCGCCGCTCCCTGTCTCCGTTCCTCTGTCCCGCAGGTATTTCTTCCTGCGGCGCGGCGAGCAGCCCACCGACCTGACCGCGCAATGGCTGGAGTGGGAGGCCACCGAGCTGCAGGTGGGGGCCGGGCGGCGGGCGGGGCGGTGGCCGCTGTGCGACCCGGCCGTGACCCCCCGTCTGCCCGCAGCCCGCCGCTCTGGCGGCCCTGTACGCCCGCCTGGTGCACGGCAGGACGGGCGCGGAGGCGGCGGCGGCGCTGGGAGGAGCGCTGGGCCACATCGAGAGGAGCTTGGCCGGGAGAGGCACGGCGTACCTGGCCGGGGTGAGGGGGCCGTTCCCGTGCGTTTGTGGGGGATGCGGCGTGGGGCCGGGGCCGCCTCGGGGCACAGCTCTGCTCCTTCGTGCTGCAGGACGCCGAGTCGGTGGCGGACGTGGTGGTGTGGGGCACGCTGTTCCCTGTGCTCCGAGATGAAGCCGTGCCCGTGGGTAAGAGCTGGGTGAGGCCGCTCCTCTGCGCTCCCCGGCCTCCCGGAGGGCTGCTGGGCTGGGAGCCGCGGGGCTGCGGGATCGCGGGTCCCGCTTTCTCTCTTCTGCAGGATCTTATGGGGGAGGGCGTGAACCGGGTGTCTCTGGATTGCCATCGTGCTGCTTTGTGTCCCCCCTTTCCCTGACAGCTGAGCCGCTGCAGAGCTGGTTCCGGAGCATGACGCTCTCGGAGGCGTGCAGGAGCGCTGCCGACACCGTGCTGCTGCCACAGCGCCTGCAGCAATTCACAGCCTGCCTGCAGAAGCTGCCCCCGCTGCACCCACCGCCAGACACGGCCGCAGGCTGCGAGGTGTGGGCCTGGGCTGGGAGCACCGTGAGCCCCCTGCCCCCCCCCTTCCAGCACTCAGCCATCCCCCCTGCAGGACGACGCGTCAGAGCAGGCGCTGACGGAGGAGGACGTGGCAGCGGCTGTGGATGCATGGAATCGCGGTGCTGCTGCGCTGCCCAAACCCTGGAAGCCTCCGAAGCCCGTGTGAGTGCCGCTGTGGGGCTGGGGGGGACCCACAGAATCACTGAATCACCGAGGTTAGAAAAGACTTTGGAGATCACCCAGTCCAACCAGCCACCTGTAACCAGTAGCTCTCCCTAAACCGCATCCCTCAACACAAAGTCCAGCCGTTCTCTGAGCACCTCTGGGGTCGGTGACTCCAGCACCTCCCTGTGCAGCGCCTGGCTGCTCCTCCAGAAAAGTGCTATTTCCTGATGTCCAGCCTCAATCCGCCCTGGCGCAGCTTGAAGCCATTCCCTCTCGTTCTCTTACACGAGAGCAGAGGCCGACCCCCAGCTCACTGCAGCCTCCCTTCAGGCAGTCATAGAGAGCAGTGAGGTCTCCCCTGAGCTCCTCTTCTCCAGACCCAACAGCCCGGCTCCTTCAGCCTCTCCTCATCAGCCCTGTGCTCCAGACCCCTCACCAGCTTTGTTGCCCCTCTTTGAACTCGCTGCAGGGCCTCGATGTCTTTCTTGCAGTGAGGGGCCCAAAACTGGACACAGCACTCGAGGTGCGGCCTCACCAGAGCTGAGTGCAGGGGATGATTCCCTCCCTGCTCCTGCTGCCCAACTGTTTCTAACGCAGGCCAGGATGCCGTTGGCCCTCTTGGCCCCCTGCTCACTGCTGGCTCCTGTTCAGCCGAGCACCAACCAGCACCCCCAGCTCCCTTCCTCTTCAGTCGTCCAGCCTCTCAGCCCAAGCCTGCAGCGCTGCGTGGGGCTGTTGTGCCCAAAATGCAGGATGGGACACTTGGCCCTGTTGTAACTCATCCCACTGGCTTCAGCCCAGCCATCCAGCCTGTCCAGATCCTCTGCAGGGCCTTGCTACCCCCAGGCAGATCCACACTTCCAGCCAACTTGGTGTCTCCTGCACACTTACTGAGGGCGCGCTCAGTGCCCTCATGCAGGTCATCAAAAAGACTTTGCAGGGGAAGCCCCAGCGCCGACCCCTGGGGAACCACTGGTGGCCGGTCGCCAGCTGGGTTTGGCTCCATTCACCACCACTGTCTGGGTGCCACTGGGTGTCTGGGTGCCATTCCTGCAGCCAGTTCCTTACCGGCCAGCAGCGTGCCTGTCCTCGCCACGGGCTGCTGCTGCTGCAGGAGGTGGCATCAGAGGCCTTGCTGAAGTCTGGATAGACAGACAGATAGACAGACCGCATGGCAGCCTTTCCTCTGCCCACTCCCAGCCTCACCAGCTCAGAGATGAGTCTGGCCGGGCAGCTTGTCCCCCTCGTGTGACAGCAGTGTGGTCTGAAGGCTCCGTGTGGCGCAGGTTGCCGGTGGAGGGCATGAGGAACGTGCTGATCACCAGCGCCCTGCCCTACGTCAACAACGTGCCCCACCTGGGCAACATCATCGGCTGCGTCCTCAGCGCCGACGCCTTTGCCAGGTGAGGGGGTTTGGGTCGGGGTGAGGGTGGAGGGGTTGGGCTGGGGGTGAAGGGGTTTGGCTGGGGGTGAAGGGGTTTGGCTGGGGGTGAGGTGGGTTCTGCCCTGTGCCGCCCCCCAACCCACAGCCGCCTGCAGGTTCTGCCGCCTGCGCAACTGGAACACGCTGTACGTGTGCGGCACGGACGAATACGGCACGGCCACCGAGACCAAGGCGCTGGAGGAGGGGCTGACGCCGCGGCAGATCTGCGACAAATACCACGCCGTGCACGCCGACATCTACCGCTGGTTCGGCATCTCCTTCGACTGCTTCGGCCGCACCACCACGCCGCAGCAGACCGCGTGAGCGCCGCCGAGTGGCGCGGCTTGGGGCTCCGCAGCTCCCTGCTCTGCCCCCCTTTCGCTTTCTCCCCACTGGATTTTTTGGGGGCTCTCCAGCACCCCCGACTGCTGCCACCTCCTTCCTTTTTCTCTCCTCCCCCCAAGGTTTTCTTGGGGGTGGAAACGGGGGGGCAGCTTGGGGCTCTCAGGCATCACCACGTTTGCACTGCCTGACTCCTTTTTCTCTCCTCCTGGAGGCCTTGCTGTGGGGAGGCTCTCAGGCGCCCTCTGACTGCCCTCGTCCCATTCCTTTTCTCCTGCAGGGTTCCCCAGG